TAACAATAAACAACTATAAAAATAATAATTAATTTTGAAATTCAGGAGCTCTCAGGCAAAGATATGGGAGTAGAAATAACAGTTCTTTATTAGGAAAAATTAAAAATACAAATGCAGTAGCACAAACAAAAACAACAGTGACAGAGTGTCATGGTTTGACACTGGCATAATGCCAGTGCCCCCATGAAAATACCCTCTCCCTGGTTTCTACTGTGAGATGTGACCAGGAATAAGCAAAGTAGGCTCCCACTTAGAAATAAAGAAGAATTTATTAACTAAACTACAAGGGAAAAAAAAGAAACACACAAGGAAAATGAAAATTTCACAAATACATCTCCCCCTCCTCCCCACCAACTCTCCAATACAATACAATACATTCCCCAAATCACCAACTCTCGGTCCGGCACCACCCTTCAAACAATCAATCTTCAGTTCATCAAGAGGAGAGGAGTCCTTCTTGTGCCATGGTGACCTCTTCCTTTCATGTCCAGTGCTCTCACCACTGAAGACGGACCAGAGCTGCTTCCAGGGTCATCTTTTAAGGATGCCTTTTCCCATTCCAAAAAGGGCACAGTCTCTCCTTCGGGACACCTGCCCCTCCCAAATTATTCCCCCTGGGGCCGAGGGGCACCAACACTGAACCCTCTTGTTTCCAGGGCATTGTCCCCCCTGGATACAGTCTCTATCACAGGGAAACATGGTTCTGTCCATGGCTATACAAAAAGAGTCCAGTAAAGCAGCCACTCCATCATCTCTTCCACCCGAGTTCTTCTCTATTCTTTTCATATCTCTCCCTTGCTCAGACCTTCAACACTTGCTCAGTTCCCTCTTCATCTTCCACTCCATCTCCCCTCCAGGAAAGGTCAATGCTCTGCAATGTTTTCATTGTCCACAAAGGGGTTAAAAGCTCCTGCAAGCAGCCGGACAGGTGGGCAGGCTGTGCTGGCAACAAATGATATCAAATTTCAAGATAACAGTCCCTGGCACTGCTCTCTCTCTCTCTCTGTCTCTCTCTCTCTCTCTCTCCCCCTTCGTCTCTCTGAGCGGGGGGGGGGGGGGGGGGCCGGAAATACCTCTCGGTACTTCTTCCATTCTTCCACCCTTGGGCCAGGCCTACCTCTCATCTCTGTCCCAGGCCCGGCCACCTCACAGACGGGGGAAGAGATCCAAACCCTTTTCCCACCAGAAATCCAAAGAGAGCCTCCCAGGGGAGAGCTCTGCTTTAAACCCTTGTGTTCTCGGATCTAATGTCCCAGTGGCCAAACCAGGTGCCAATATTAAAATCTGAGCACCCATTGGTTTGACCACAACATCCTAGAAAACCTATTTCCCGTCAAATCACCACACAGAGTCAGAATACTCTGGGAATCCATGAAAAAGGTTGATCCTCTTGGAATCCAGTGGGAAAAGATTTATCCTCTAGGAATCCAGTGGGAAACGGTTGATCATCTGGGAATCCATTGGAAAAAAAGGTTGATCCATTGGGAATCCAGTGGGAAAAGCTTGATCCTCTAGGAATCCAGTAGAGAATGAGGCTGATCCTTTGGAAGCCAGTGAGAAAACAACTGATCCTCTGGGAATCCAGTGGGAAAAGATTTATCGTCTGGAAATACACTGGAAAAAAGGTTGATCCTTTGGGAATCCAGTGGGAGAAGATTTATCCTCCGGGGATCCAGTGGGAAAAGCTGAAATTTTGGGAATCCAGTAAGAAAAGGGCTGATCCTCTGGGAATCCATTTCTTACCCCCCAAAGACAAGGTAAAGGCAGAGCCGTGGAGTTTTTATAGGGTATTATTACAGCGTCCTGAGTGGGCCGCCATGGTGAGAGAGAGACGGTGAATCTTGTTTCTTGACCAGAAGGCTGGATTTATTGATATAGGATATATAATACATTATAACTATACTAAATAGAATAAAGAGAGCAGTTGCAGAGCTGCTGCCAGGCTAAGAATAGAAAGAAAGAATCTATAACAAAGTTGTGTCCAGGGACTCGGTCCCCAGCTTGTTCCTGTGATTGGCCTCCAATTATAAACATGTGCTTGTTTATAACATGAGACCAATCAGGTGCATCTTATTGCATTCCACAGCAGCTGATAACAATTGTTTACATTCTCTTCTGAGGCCTCTGCCTTCCAGAAGACGCAGAAATCTGAAAGAAAGGATTTCTGTGAAAAAATGTCTGCGACAGGGTATCCCACAGGTGGAGTTGGGGTTTGGGTCAGGGGAGGAGTTCTGAGAAACACAAGAAGGGTGAGATCAAATTCCTGCCTCTTAGCAACAGCAGCACTCCACATAGAACGCGTCCCCAAATTCTAAATACCCTCTAAAACAACTGAGAAATTATGGAACTTCAGATATATTCCATCAATTTCCTTCATTTAACCCAGTTTTGGGTGTTTTTAAAGGATGAAGGTGAAGCAGAGGAAAATTAAGGCCAAACCAAAAGGCGAAGCAGCCAGGTATGTTCTAAACATGGATCACAGGGAATGTGAGTGACCAGGGCTGTGCCCAAAGTGCCTCCTCCAGTGGGGGATGGAGCTGGAGCAGCGCACGAAGCTCTGCCCACACCCGGGGCACTCGCAGGGCTTCCCTTAGTGGTGCCTCCATTGGTGTTGGGTCAAGTGAGAGCTGCGGGAGAAACTCTTCCCACACTGGGGACACTCGTAGGGCCTCTCCCCAGTGTGGATGTGCCGGTGGATGATGAGGTGGGAGTTGTGCTTGAATCCCTTCCCGCAGTCGGGACATTGGAAGGGCCTCTCCTCTCTGTGAATCCGATAGTGCCGGATGAGATGGGAGCCGGTCTGAAACATCTTCCCGCACTTGGAACACTCGAAGGGCCTCTCCCCAGTGTGGATGCACCGGTGGGTGATGAGTTTGGAGTTCTCTTTGAATCCCTTCCCACAGTCGGGGCATTGGAAGGGCCTCTCCTCTGTGTGACTCTGATAGTGCCGGAGGAGATGGGTGCTCGTCATAAACCTCTTCCCTCACTTGGAACACTCACAGGGTCTCTACCAAGTGTGGGTTATCTGGTGCTTCATCAGGCTGGAGCTCTCTCCGAAGCACATCTCACACTCGGAACACTTGTACGGCCTTTCTCCAGTATGGGTCCTCAGGTGCCGGATCAGGTTGGAGCTCTGGTTGAAGCTCTTCCCACACTCCCCACACTCATAGGGCTTCTCCCCAGTGTGGATCCTCTGGTGCACAAGCAGGTGGGATCTCCGGCTGAAGCTCTTCCCACACTCCTCGCACGTATGGGGCTTCTCCCCATCATGGAGCTGCTCATGGAGCACCAGCCCCAAGCTCTGGCTCCGTCTCCGGCCGCCTTCCCGGCCCAGGCTGGCTCTTTCCCCCTCAGATCCCCGCCAGCTGCGTTTGCAGCCCCTCCTCGTGTGGCATCTCCGGGGCTTTTCCTCCCCGTTGGCTTCCTGCGCCGTGGAGCCGCTCAAAACGGCCTCTTCCACCAGGTTCTGCCGTGGGCATTTGTCTTCCCTGCTCTCCATGCTCAGCTCCTGCTCTGGGGCAGGAAGGACAAGGACAGGATGGGATTTGCCTCCGTGCCACAGGCAAGGCCAAGGAGATCCCCCCAGGGCTGAGCTGCAGCCGGGCCGTGCTGGGCTGGGAGATGGAGCAGCACAGAGGGGAAAGGGGCACTGACTTCCTCCTCACCTGCCTCAGTGTCCCGGGGCATCTTCCTCTTCCTCGCAGCCTCCCAGGCCTTGGCAATGGGAAATCCTGGTTTGGGGAAAACAAGGGATGAGAGCGTTTGCAGGAGGGTGGGGGGTAGCACGGTCGGGACGGACGGAGACGAGAGAGCTCTGCAGCCAGGGCGTGGAACTTGCGGTTTATTGCAAAGGGCCTGGGTGCAGGGCCCTGCTTGGAGCTGCCAGCCACAGCTTGGAGAAGGCCCGAGAGAAGAGAGGGGTAGAGAGGATGAGAGAGTAAGAGAGTAAGAGAGCAAAAGCATAAGAGAGTAAGGTTCCTGTTACAATACAATAAATCTTCTTCTGTGTTGAATATTCTATTTCTCACTAACCAATCTAGTACAAGATACAAATCCTACAGCATTTCCATACAGCCTGTAAGAATCAATATATTACCATATTGTGTTACATTTTAAACCCTAAAAACTCCTCTTTGGCCCCCTTCTGTTGAGCTAGTAGGGTCTGCTCTGACCCTTGGATCTGTCTGCAAGCAGAGGGAATTGTTTCATCAAAAGCGGATTATCTTCAGTTGGGCCACACCATTGTTTTCCAGTAGTTCACTAACTGAGGGATCTCAGAGCTTGCTTTCATTTCAATCTTCCTTATACTTTCTATATTCTCAGAATAGAGATACCCCTCTATATTCTCAGGTAGAGATACCCCTCTCTTCTCTTGGGCCTTCTCCGAGCTGTGGCTGGCAGCTCCAAGCAGGGCCCTGCACCCAGGCCCTTTAAAATAAACCGCAAGTTCCATGCCCTGGCTGCAGAGCTCTCTCGTCTCCGTCTGTCCTGACCATCCTACCCCCCGACGCTCCTACAAATGTGCTCATCCCTTGTTTTCCCCAAACCAGGATTTCCCATCGCCAAGGCCTGGGAGGCTGCAAGGAAGAGGAAGATGCCCCGGGACACTGAGGCAGGTGAGGAGGAAGTCAGTGCCCCTTTCCCCTCTGTGCTGCTCCATCTCCCCGCCCAGCCCCGGCTGCAGCTCAACCCTGGGGGGATCTCCTTGCCCTTGCCTGTGGCACAGAGGCAAATCCCATCCTGACCTTGTCCTTCCTCCCCCAGAGCAGGAGCTGAGCATGGAGAGCAGGGAGGACAAATGCCCACGGCAGAACCTGGTGGAAGAGGCCGTTTTGAGCGGCTCCACGGCGCAGGAAGCCAACGGGGAGGAAAAGCCCCGGAGATGCCACACGAGGAGGGGCTGCAAACGCAGCTGGTGGAGATCTGAGGGGGAAGGAGCCAGCCTGGGCCGGGAAGGCGGCCGGAGATGGAGCCAGAGCTTGGGGCTGGTGCTCCATGACCAGCTCCATGATGGGGAGAAGCCCCACATGTGTGTGGAGTGTGGGAAGAGCTTCAGGAGGAACTGCGACCTGATTGTGCACCAGACGATCCACTCTGGGGAGAGGCCGTACAAGTGCTCCGAGTGTGGGATGTGCTTCACCCGGAGGTCCAGACTGATCCAGCACCAGAGGACCCACACTGGGGAGAGGCCCCATGAGTGTTCCAAGTGTGGGAAGAGGTTTAAGACCAGCGCCCATCTGCTCCAGCACTATCGGATTCACAGAGAGGAGAGGCCCTTCCAATGCCCCGAATGCGGGAAGGGATTCACGCGCAACTCCCACCTCATCACCCACCGGCGCATCCACACCGGGGTGAGGCCCTACGAGTGTGATAAATGCAGGAAGGGGTTTAAGACCAGCTCCCATCTCCTCCTGCACTATCGGATTCACAGAGAGGAGAGGCCCTTCCAATGCCCCGACTGCAGGAAGGGATTCAAGCACAACTGCAACCTCATCACCCACCGGCGCATCCACACTGGGGAGTGGCCCTACGAGTGTCCCCACTGTGGGAAGAGCTTCTCACAGAGTTCTCTCTTGACCCAACACCAACGGAGGCACCGGTAAGGGAAGCCCTGCGAGTGCCCCGAGTCCGGGCAGAGCTTCGTGCGCTGCTCCAGCTCCATCCCCCACTGGAGGAGGCACTTTGGGCACAGCCCATGTGAGCCACATTCCCTGTGATCCATGTTGAGAACACACCTGGCTGCTTCTACTTTTAATTTCACCTTAATTTTTTTCTATTCTCCATCTCTTTCCACTGCAATAGCCAAGAGGGATGGATCTGTCACCTCCAAACCACTCAAATCCCAGTGAAAACAGCTCAATCTTACCCCAAAGCAGCTCAAACCCACCTCAAAATCTCAATCCCATGTCAAACTCACTCGATTCCGCAGCCATCAGGCTGACATGAGGATGGGAGGTGATTTAGATTTGTGGGATCTCAATTAGAGTGGTGGGATGGAAATTGTGTTGGGCTGGGTGTGTGGGATGTATTTGGCAGCAAATAAAACTCTGAGACTTACTGATTTCTCTCCTGTTCATGTTCAGTCTGTTGCAGTTCTGTTTGCAGAGTGCCGCCTTCTCAGCTCATTTTCTTGGTGTCCCCTTTTCTCTCCTGCCTCTCTTTGCCTGCTCTGTTTCTCTCTCAGTGTCTCCCTGGACCCACGGACCACCAGAGACCCTGCCCTGATTTAATTGACCCAGGCACCACCAGAGACCCTCCCTATATTTAATTGCCTCAGGACCACCCAATACCCTCCCCTGATTTATTGCCCCAGTGACCACCAAAGACCCTCCCCTGATTAAATTGACCCCTCCCCTGATTTAATTAACCCCTCCCCTGAATTGACCCCTCCCCTGATTTAATTTACCCTATCCCTGTTTTAATTCCCCTTCCCCTGATTTAATTGACCCCTGCCCTGATTTAAATGACCCCTCTGTCCCCACAGACCCTCCCCTGATTATTTATTATTTTATTTCCCAATTATTATTTTAATTCCCAGTCCCAGGAGCTGAAGTCCTAAAGGCTGGCAAGGAAATGTCTCTGTAGGATTTTGCTCCATTTCCTTTCAAGGGCAGGAACATCTTTTCCTGGCTAGGAGCTGGAATTGCAGACTTTTGGAATGTGTGCAGGGCAACACGGACTGGGATCAAACATGGACTGGGATCAAATAGGGGTTGGGATCAAATATGGACTGGGATGAAATACGGACTGGGATCAACTATTCACTGCGATCAAATATGGACTGGGATCAAATATGGACTGGGATCAATTATTGATTGGAATCCTACAGTGTGGGATAAACTGGGCTGAGCTTATATAGACTGGGATCAAATATGGGCTGGGATCAAATATGAATTGAGATAAAAAATGGACTGGGATCAAATATGGACTAAAATCAACTATGGACTGGGATAAACTGGACTGGGATCAAATCAGGACTGGGATCAGCTTTGGACTGGGATCAACTTTGGACTGGGATCAAATATGGCCTAGATCAAATATGACAGATTTTATGGACTGGGATCAAATATGGACTAGGATAAACTATCAACAGGGATCAAATATGGACTGGGATCAAATATGGATTGGGATCAAATGGACTGGGTTCCTACAGACTGGGATAAACTGGACTGAGATTATATAGATGTCGTGGTTTGAGAGGAAGTTAGTTTTCTGGGATATGAGGTGGTCAGGCCAATAGGTGCTCACATTTGAATACTGGCACCTGGTTTGGCCACTGGGGACATTGGATACGCCTCTGAGGACACAGGGGTTAAAAAGCAGAGCACTCCCGGGGGAAGCTCTCTTGGGTTCCAGCGAGGGAAGCAGGTCGGGCCTCCCCTGCCCAGCTCCTGGCTGGTTTGGGGCTGGGCGAGGTAGGCCTGGCCCGAGGATGGAAGGGTGGAAGAGCCCAGAGAGGCATCGGGCAGCCACACCTCCCCCCAGGAGAGAGAGAGAGAGAGAGAGAGCGCCTGTGCCACCGTGAAATTTGATATCCTGTGCTGGCAGCACAGCCCAGTTGGCAGAGAAGGGCGGGAGAAGGGCGGGGGGATGCAGCGAGAAGGGGTCCGGCAGCTGTGGGAGCTTTGGGTGGGTAGAGCCCGAGCTTTTAACCCTTTTTCGGACAAGGAAAACTTTGCAGAATATTAACCTTTCCTAGAAGAGAGATAAGAGATGAAATGGAGGAAGGAAATGTGCAAGTGTGAAGGTCTGGGCAAGTGAAAGATGTTGGGAGAGTAGAGAAGAATCTTAGGTGGGAAGAGATGATGGAGTGGCCTTAGCTGGACTTTTCCTGCATGGCCATGGACTGAACCATGTTTCCTGTGACACAGAGACTGCATCCAGGGGGAGGCAATGGCTCGGAGCCAAGAGGGTTCAGTGTTGGTACCCCTCGGCCTCAGGGGGTGAAATTTGGGGGGCACAGGTGTCCCAAAGATGAGACTGTGCCCTTTTTGGAACGAGACAAAGCATCCTTAAAAGGACAACCCTAGAAGCAGCTCTGGTCCATGTGCAGTGGTGAGAGCACTGGACATGGAAGGAAGATGTCACGACGAACGATGTTCTCCACGCGGTGCCACGGGAAACACACGGGGTTTCAGCGGTGTTTCCTGGGGAAGCCTATGGCACAAGAAGGATTCCTCTCCCCTTGATGAACTGAGAATTGATTACCTAAAGGGTGGTGATGGACCGAGAGTTGGTGATTTGGGGAATAGATGTATTGGAAATTTGGTGGGAGGGGGAGGAAATGTTTTTGGAAAGTTTTCATTTTCTCTGTGTGTTTCTTGTTACTTAGAGTTGTAGTTTAGTTAATAAAGGTTTCTTTTCTTTATTTCCAAGTGGGGGCCTGCTTTGCTTATTCCTGGTCACATCTCACAGCAGACACCAGGGAGCATATATTTTCATGGGGACACTGGCATTGTGCCAGCATCAAACCATGACACCTACGCTGCCAGTTGGCCTTTTTCCACCTCTCCAGCCATCCCCACAGAGCATTGGCTACTATCCATGAATCAGTGTAGAGGTAGAGCTTTGGCCATTTCTCTCCCTTAGCATTGTCCAGGGCCAGCTAAATGGCTTTGAGTTCTGTATGTTGAAATGATACACCTTCTCCTTCAGCGGCCTCTGCAACCTGTCATGTGGGGCTCCATACGGCTGCTTTCCACTTCTGGTCCATCCCTGCGATGCGACAGGAACCGTCAGTGAAAAGAGCGTAGCGCGTTTCCTCTGGGGGCAGTTGGTTATAGGGAGGAGCCTCTTCAGCCCGTGTCACTGGTTCTTGTTGCTCTTCATCAGTAAGACCAAACTTCTCACCTTCTGGCCAGTTTGTAATTATCTCCAAAATTCCAGGGCGATTCAGGTTTCCAATACGGGCGCACTGTGTGATAAGAGCATTCCGTTTACTCCATGTAGCGTCAGTGGTGTGGTGGGGGGGTGGGAACCTTTCATTTGAACATCCACCCCAGCACCGGTAGTCGGGGTGCCAGGAGGAGTTGTGCTTCCGTGCCAATCACCTCTGAGGCAGCCTGGACTCCTTCATAGGCAGCCAAGGTTTCCTTCTCTATGGGACTGTAGTTGGCTTCTCACCCTCTGTAGCTTCGACTCCAAAATCCCAGTGGTCGGCCTCGAGTCTCCTCAGGCACCTTCTGCCAAAGGGTCCAGGACGAGCCATGGTTCCCGGCTGCAGAGTAGAGCACATTCTTCACCTCTGGTCCTGTCCTGACTGGGCCAAGGACAACTGCATGAGCAATCTCCTGCTTGATCTGTGCAAAGGCTTGTTGCTGCTCAGGGCCCCAGTGGAACTCGTTCTTCTTGCAGGTGACCAGGTAAAGAGGGCTCACGATCTGACTGTACTCAGGAATGTGCATTCTCCAAAAGCCTATGGCACCTAGGAAAACTTGTGTTTCTTTCTTATTGGTGGGTGGAGACATTGCTGTGATCTTGTTGATTACGTCTGTAGGAATCTGATGCCGTCCATTAATAAGGCCTCCGATCAGCCTTATCATGAAGCAGAGCCTTGGTGCTCAGGATCTCAGTCCCTGAGGAGGGACCGGGTGCCCAAAGCCAGCTCAGGCCAATGCCAGGGGGCTACCTTTCTAGCAAGCCTGGTGATATTCAGCTCTATAGTGATTAGCAGCTCTTAGGACCTCAGCTCTTTGCTTGCTAGGTAGTGGAGCTCCGGGCTTGAGGCAGCAGCAGACGGAGAGAGGAGAAGGAGAAGGCAGAAGCTGTTCCACAGAGAAGGCTTTATCTGGGGGTCCGCGAAGGGTCTCGGCTCTTCTTCTGAGCTAGTAGGGTACAGCATGCTAATTTTATAGACTTGGCAAGTATCTAAACTTGACCAATGGCAAGGGATTAGGGAGACCATAAAATGACCGATAGGTAAAGGCTACCATGGCATTTTCTCACATGGTTAGAGAGACAGTTTATAGGGCAGATGTCCATGGAGTCAGGAAGCTTCCTTGCTGCTGTGCCAGCATTCCTTTTGTTAGATTCTCCATGGTGCTTTTGCTAAATGTATGGGGTTTACTACAGTCCATCTTGCCACTTCCCTCCCAGGAACTGAATCTCATGAGCTGGTCCCTTTACCTTGACTTTTTAATGGAAAAACCAGCTCCCAGGAGGATTTGGATGATTTCCTTCCCTTTCTCAAACACTTCCGCAGCTGTGTTCCCCCCACACAATGATGTCATCAATATACTGCAGATATTCGGGAGCCTCTCCCCTTTCTAGTGCAGTCTGGATCAGTCCATGGCAGATGGTAGGGCTGTGCTTCCACCCCTGGGGCAGTCGGTTCCAGGTGTACTGCACTCCCCTCCATGTGAAAGCAAATTAAGGCCTGCATTCTGCTGCCAGAGGAATGGAGAAAAATGCATTGGCAATGTCTATAGTGGCAAAGCACTTTGCTGCCTTGGACTCCAGCTCGTACTGGAGCTCCAATATGTCTGACACGGCAGCGCTCGGTGGTGGAGTCACTTCATTCAATGCACGGTAGTCCACAGTCAATCTCCATTCTCCTTCAGATTTTCGCACAGGCCAAATGGGGCTGTTGAAGGGTGAGTGGGTCTTGCTGACCACCCCTTGGCTCTCCAGCTCTCAGATCATCTGTTGGATGGGGATCACAGCATCTCGAGTGGTTCTATACTGTCGTCGATGCACTATGGAAGTGGCAATTGGCACTCGTTGCTCTTCTTTCGTCAGGCATCCTACTGCAGATGGATTCTCAGACAACCCAGCAAGGTGTTCAATTGCTGGATGCCCTCTGTCTCTACAGCAGCTATTCCAAATGCCCATCTGAGTCCTTTTGAGTCTTTGAAGTACCCACTTCGAAGGTAGTCTATACCCAAAATACATGGGGCCTCTGGGCCAGTCACAATAGGATGCTTCTTCCACTCATTTCCCATTAGGCTCACATCAGCTTCCACCAAAGTGAAATCCTGGGATCCCCCTGTCACACCAGCAATAGAAACAGACTCTGTCCCCACATGTCTTGATGGGATTAATGTGCATTGCGCACCAGTATCGACCAAAGCTTTGTACTCTTGTGGTTCAGATGTGCCAGGCCAACGAATCCACACAGAACAAAAAATACGATTTTCCGTTGCCTCTACCTGGCTAGAGGCAGGGCCTCTCTAAGCCTGGTTATCCTTCTTTCTCTGGCCATATGTTTTGGATGTTCCTTCAATGGGATCAGACATGTCATCATCATCATACCTGGCCATTCGGCTACGGGCAACTGGAGCTGCTTTCCTTTTGGTGGCTTCCTTCAGTTCACGCACCCGTCGTGCCAGAACAGCAGTAGGTTTCCTATCCCACCTTCTCATGTTTTCCCCACAATCACACAGGTAAAACCACAGCTCATCTCATGGGGTGTATCTTCTCTCACCATCTGGGAACCGTCTGCCTTGGATACCAGAACCTCGGATCTGTACTGCTGAAATTTGGAGAAGGAGAAGGTCTTCTTTAATCTCCTCTCTAAGCTTCTTATGATTCTCCTCTATCTTATCCTCTAAGTTCTGCAGAAGTGTTTCTACCACTGCGACTCTGGCATGTGTCGGGCCATGTACAGCATCTGTATATGCTCGGAGCTTCCTTGCCATGTCAAGCACAGTCTCACCCCTCTCATCCCTCTTCATGATGGCTAAGGCAGAAGCATATTCATGTGGCCCAAGTTGTATGAGTTTTCGCCACATCACAGATGTGCATGGTACTAAGTCTGGGTTCCTAGCTGTTACATCATCTGAGAAGATAATCTCTGCCACTGCCATTTCTCTCAGGCATTGGATCCCTTGTTCTATGGTTTTCCACTGGGTTTGCTGCATATAGAGATCGTCTGCACACAGGTATTTTGTGCTACACTTCTTAGGACCCAGAGGCTGTGAGAGTTAGCCCCCCTCATCATTCCTTGGTCTATGACAGGATCCTGTGACAGGGATCCCAAATGCCTGGTTTCAGTGCCGTCCAGAATTGTAGCCTCGCCTGCAGCATCCCAGAGACGGACCAGCCAACTAATTATGGATTCATCAGACCTTCAAGTGTAATCCTTCCTTAGGCCACGAAGGTCCTTCAGGGAATAAGACTCAATATTTGCATCTGATCTTGCACCTGCTGCTTTGACTCTTGATTTTATGTCAGGAGGCATTGAGGTTCCTTCTCCCTCTCCTTCATCATCATCATCATCATCATCATCATCATCCACTGGTTGATTGGTCTTGTCCGTGCATTTCCCAATTCTAGTACTGGCAGCAACAGCCATTGGTTAAGGCTTATTTTCTGGTTTAGCTGCTGGCTTAGACTCACTATCTGGTTTAGCTGCTGGCTTCGAGCCTGGGCTGTTGGCTGCAGCCTGAGTCACCGGGATAGTTGCTGATTTATCTCCCTGCCCCCCTGCCTCTGTCTGCTGCCCGACAGGATCTAGCAGTGAGCGATGAGCACAAGCCAGGGCCCAGCTCACTGCAATGACCTTCCTCTCCTTAGGCTCATCCTGATACTTCTCTTTCAGATATTTCCCCACCTCAGCTGGGTTGTGAATTTGCTCATGGGGAAAATCCCAGACTATAGGGTCAGAGAATTCCTTCAGGATTTGGCCCATATCCTCCCATTTCCCACACCACTTAGGATTTTCCACACCGGGGTCTACTCCTGAGTCAGGGGTCTCATCAGCCCGTCTAGAAATCTCAGCCCTCATTCTAGAGAAGCAGCAGGCTGTATAGACGAAGGTTACCAGATTGAATACCAGAAAGATGGTCTCTTTAACATTCAGGGGAAACGCAACATCCTTCAATAGTGATGCAACAGATTCATAGGAGAAGAAGGAAAGCAAAGGCTGAAAAGCCTCATCCCCGGCTGCTCCTCCTCTAACAAACTGGATGCATAACCATAGCCACGAACCATTCATACCTGAAGCAGACCCCAGCATGTTTACAAACTTTTTACACATCATTACCACCAAGCCCAGCAGGATAGCTATTCTGGTCACTGCCCCTCTGCTATAAAAAATACATATTAGGGACAATATTAAAGCTATTTCTGGGTAAGAAAATAAACCTAGGGACCATAGAGGTATTAAAATCTCAAAAAACCTTAGAGACCAGAAATGCATGCAAGCCTTCAGCCCAACAGACATTATGAATTCAAAAAGCATGGCTATTAACTGCTTTATACAAACACAGAGTAATGGCAACCAAAATGCACTCAAAACAGGGTTTTTCCACTCTCTCTCGAGCCCCACGTGTTGGCTGCCACATTTTGTCCTGGTTTAGGGTAAATTTGGTAGAGAATCTCCAAAGGGGGCCCCTCCAGAAAGCAAACCCACACGACCCCTCCCCCCAACCAGTTTGGGAAGAATTCCTCAGAGAGAAGTGGAAAGAACCTGTTTATTTAACAGGCACAGCACCCCTAGCACACAGAATGAACAATACCGGATGACACCGATCTGAAAAAGGTGACAAATTCAGAAAGTCTCTCTCGGGGGTGGTTGCTCTGTTCTCAGTCCCTCCGGCGCTGGGGCAGCTGCTGCAGCCAAAAGGTGCAAACTCTCGGTGTTCCCAGGTCCCAGTCTGGAGCAGGTTTGAGATGGTCGAAAAAGAGGAGAGGACAAACAGTCCAGGAAGGAATTTGGACTGTTTAGCTAAACTAGTTAATGAGTAGGAGCAAAAGCAAGCAGAAGCGAGAGCAGAGAGAGAGAGAGCGAAGCAAAAAGCAAAAGCAGCAAAATCAAGACCCGCGGTCTCTCTGTGTCCCACCAGGCTGATAAGAATACCCAAACAAAACTTTCACTCTTCAGAGCCAGTCTTAAAGGCACAGAACATGATATCCAGCATTAACAGAACACATGAATGGGGACACAAGCATCATAACATCACCCTAGGACACCTTCGAAATCTGGTCCAGGAGCAGTTGGACCAGGGTCATCTGGAGACTTCTACCAGTCCCTGGAACACTCCTGTCTTCTGCATCAAGAAAAAATACGGGAAATGGAAGTTGTTACAAGGCCTCCAAAAGGTCAATGTCATGATGGAAAGCATGGGAACATTGCAGGCGGGCATGCCGTCGCCCACCATGCTTCCCACAAATTGGCCAGTCCTCATCGTGGATCTGAAGGATTGTTTTTTGCAATTTCTTTGCATCCTGATGACAGACCAAAATTTGCCTTCTTGGTGCCAGCAATTAACAATGCTGAGCCCACACAGTGATATCAGTGGAAAGTTTTGCGCCAAGGAATGCAAAATTCTCCGGCCATATGCCAACAGTATGTGGCCTGTGTCTTGTCTGGAGTTCACAAGCAGTTTTCTGATGCACGTCTGTATGATTATATGGACGACATTTTAGTGGCTGCATCCAGGACGAGCTGCTGAGGATTAAGCCTCAGTTGCTCAGTGCTTTGTATTCTCATGGGCTTCAGGTGGCTCCAGAAAAGGTTCAACAACAACCTCCTTTGAAGTATTTGGGGGTCAAAATTCTGGAATAGACAATCCGACACCAGGAGGTGCAATTTGTACATTTGGTGAAGACACTGAATGATGCCCAGAAATTGGTAGGTGTCATAATTTGGTTACGTCCGTACTTGGGACTGACCAACACACAACTGTCTCCTCTGTATGATTTGTGGAAAGGAGACAATGGTCCTGCTTATGCATCACAGAAGATGTGGCAGTTCCTGCAGTTGTGGGGTGTGTCACACAGGTTTGGTATCCCTCATGCTCCGACTGGTCAGGCTACTGTAGAAGATGCTTGTGGTACTCTGAAGCGGGTTCTTCAGAAACAAAAATGGGGAATGTAGGGTAAAACCCCACACAGTCAGTTGGCAAAAGCTTTGTACACCATCAATCATCTTACTGTGCCACAGAACTCAAAAAATCCTGTCATTTTGAATCATCACCTTTCGTTGCAGGCTCTGGATGAGACACGTCAGCCTCAAGCGAAGGTTCAGATGCGGAATTTAGTCACCAAACAGTGGGAAGGTCTCTATGACCTTATCACTTCGGGGCGTGGGTATGCTTGTGTATCCACAGATACTGGGGTACCCTGGGTACCTTTGAAGTGTGTTCGTCCTGACCTGCGACTGCAGAGACAGAATCCAGCACACGGGCAAAATGGAAACCGTGACCAAACTGAAAGTCATCAAGTGGATGAATCGTTGAGTGATGACTCAGATACAGATGGTGTGAGTGATTACTCCAATGATTCCTCCATGAGTGTACACTGAATGTTGTTCATTTTTCCTGTTAACATTACTCGTTTTTCTTTCTTTTTTTTTTTTTTTAAAGGAAAAAGGGTGAGATGTCGCCCTGTTCTTTGAAGGTTCTTCTAAGCCTTCTGATGTTTACATTTTTGTAATGGAGTTTTTTACACACTTTCCATGTAAATAATGATTGTTTTGCAGTCCTTTCTGGAGGAGGAGAGAATTGATGGACTGTTGGTTTGACCAGTGTGGTTGGAGAGGTGGCAATTTTATCTTCCAATCCATGGATGCTTTTGGAATTTTATAAATATCGAGGTCCAGAAAAAAATGTGCCTTTTTTGCCTTGGACATCTCAGGGTGTGAGTGTCGTTCATTTTGTGTCGTATTGCGACACCCTACCTCTCTAAGCATCTGGATGCAGCGGCTAAGGGGTGGCCAGGACGCCCCAGAGCTGTTGTGGCAGTGGCAGTGAACATCCAGGAAGCACAGAAGTTCACCCTCGGCCAGAAGATGACAGTGCTGGTGTCCCACACAGTGTCTGCAGTGCTGGAAGTAAAGGAGGGACATTGGCTCTCCCCACAGAGATTCCTGTAATACCAATCCACAATGGGGGAACGGGATGATGTAGAAATTGCGGTAACTAACATGGGGAACCCAGCTTCTTTCCTCAGTGCTTGTATGGGAGAAATGGTGTGTGACAGTGGTCACAAGGGTTGCAGGATGAAGAGAGAGGCGAGAATGTTGACCTCATGTTCAGAAGGCTTGATTTATTATTTTATGATATATATTATATTATGACTATACTAAAAAGAATAGAGAGAGAGTTCTCAGAAGGCTAGCTAAGCTAAGAATAGAAAAGGAATGAATAACAAAGGAGCTGTGTCCCGGCAGAAAGCGAGAACAGCTCTGCCGGGAGTAGTCAGTAAATCCAAACATCCACCAGAGACGAATCACGGATCCACCTGTTGCATTCCACAGCAGCAGATAACCATTGTTTACATTTGTTGCTGAAACTTCTCAGCTTCAGCAGGAAAAATTCTAACGAAAGGATTTTAATGAAAAGAGGTCTGTGACATGTCAGTTTTTAAATTTAGTTTAATTAAAAAGAAAAAGTGTTTGTAATTTTCTCTGCTGTGCAGAGAAAATTATTGTGGTTATCAATCAAATATTTGTGGTTGCCAATCAAAACTTCAGTCAAGTGCTGGTGTGGAATGAACAGGGAATTTCTTCACCTGTAGAACATACAATTCTATCAAATCACCAAAACAATTTTACAATATAAGAAAATGCAAAAACAATGCAAAGAAAGTTCAAGCCCAAACAACTGAGTTTCAGGAAAAAGTCCATGGACTGAAGATGTTCCTCTTTGCCATCTCTGAAAGTCTCTTTTGGTCCTGAAACAGGCTTGCTGCAGAAAAGTCCATCAATAGTTATCAAAAGCCATTGACAGTTATCAAACAATTTGGAACAATTTGAGACAACTTCTGGAATGTCCTGCCACAGCCCTTTATTGAATAACTTTGGGCTGAAGCTAATTTTTGGCCCTTCAATGCTTCAGAGCTGCTGCCAGCTATTTCAACTCTTTTTTTTTGGTGTTTAAAAAGAGCAGCAGCAGCAGAGCAGCCAAAGAAAGTCTCTGGGGGGCCCTGGCCCATGTGGAGGGATCAGGAACCCCAGATCTGGCCCACAGAAAGGCAGGCCAGGACCGATAGGGAGAAGCAAAATCACCAAACCCATCAGGAGGCCGGGAGGTGGCCCTGGCCCAGGGACCCGAGCCAAACAGCCCAGGCCCAACATGGCAGGCGGGCTCTGCCTTCCCACAGCCTGGCCCCACACTGCCAATGGAATGGTGACCAAACGCTTCTTTTCCCCAAAATCACCAAGGCATGCCAGCAGCAGGGAAATAGAAGAAGCCCCAAGAACCCTCATCTCGTGTCTAGGAATGTTTTTTCTCCACAGCAAACAAGCCACGATCGCTTCCCGCTGTGCCCTCTGCAATGCAAATGCAACAGGTGTGTCTCCCATCTGCCTCACGGCACCACCCCCTCTGGGCTGGGGACCAAAGGCAGAACTCTCGGCACCCACCTGCCCCTCGCCGCTGGGGCGTGAGAGGGGCAGCAGAGAGATTCGCAGCCCCCAAGGGAAAGCAACTGACCAAACACCCCCCAACCCGCCAAGAACGCTGATTTTGAATGCAGGCAGACGGGCTGCACCCACAGTCAGCTGTCGAGCCATGCCTCCTCCACGGAAAGGGAGGCCGGCGCCCTCTTCCCCTGTCCCAGCTTCCCCTGCAGGAGCAGCCCCGGGACAGCCCGAAAAACTCGGGGGGGAAGCCACGCTGGGTGCAGGAGCAGCTGCGGGCTGCTCCGAGGGTCCCGTGGGTTCGGCGCCGTCTCCAGCATCATCCTGAACAGGCACTAGCTCAGTTTGAGGCGGCGGGGCCGGAGAGGGGGCTGGTGGACGCAGCAGGACAGCCGGGGGGGCGGTGCCGAGTCGCTGTTGTCGCCGAGGGCGTCTCCTACCAACAGCGACGCAGCCGCAGGGAGCGGTGTTTCTGAGCTCTCAGGCGCAGGCGTGGAAGCCGGTGAAGCCACGGGCAGGACCACCCGGGGAGGCGGCCGCGGGGCGGGTCCAGGAGGAGGCCCTGCAGGCCTGGCAGGCGGGACCTCGGAGACCGGTGCTGCCCCCATCTCTGAGCGGGGCAGGGCCCAGGAGGCCGGCCAGGGCGGGGCCTGCAGGGCTGTAAGGGGCGGTGCAGCCCACTCCCATCCCCCCGGAGAGAGAGAAGGGGGGGAAGGGATGGCTGCATCTGAGCATGCTCCGAAGACGCAGTAAAAAAAACTTCGGCTCCTGGTGAAACTTCCCCCCCACTGCCGGGATGCAGGGAGGCTGGGAAGCAACAAATCATCCCTTTCCAAAGGATCTTCTCCCGCTGGAGTCAGAGGAAATGGGACGAGCCCGTTGCAGTTGGCAATCCAGGGAAAAACAGCTGCTCTCCGGTTCAAAACTGGAAAGTACATCCTAAATGCTGGATAAATCTGGGGGTATCCAAACCCACGGTCCAAAACGAATTGGAAAATGGAGTCCATGCACTCCCATATGAAAGCATCAAGGGCACAGAGCACATTCGTAAAGAACCGAAAAATCTTTGCCCATCAAAAAAACTCATAGATATCTGTCTCCAACAGGCAAAGTCCATCCTCTTCACCCCATTTTTGCCAGAGGGCAATAAGCTTCTCCTCTGAAGGGGAGAACCGAACCTCCTCCTCTATGGGGGAAGCCCTCCACATCAGCAGCCACAAACTACAAAGGGCCGCATTTTCAGGAAGGGAAAAGCCAACAGTACCTTTTGAAAGAGTCCAGCATGCTCTGGCCAGCTCCATTGCGCTGCTGCGCTTTCCGAACATCTTCCTGGAGGCTTTTCAGAAGGTTCTCTTTGTGGTCAGCCTTGCTGTGAACTCCAAATCAGGATCTTCAGTTCTTCAGCTCCTGGCTAGAATCCACTTCTGTGGTCACTTGTGAAGCAACCATCAATGCCACACATTCGGGGTTTACCCAGTGCAGCAATTGTTCCTCTGGGGGTCTCTCCAAGTAATTTGCTCTTCAGACGAGGGGTCACCAATTGATGGTTTTGTCCTCCTCACTCACTCAGGGTTCACCAATTGTCACAGTGGTCACAAGGGTCTTCAGGGTGTAAAGAGAGACGAGAATGTTGACCTCATGTTCAGAAGGCTTGATTTATTATTTTATGATATATATTACATTATTACTCTACTACAAAGAATAGAAGGAAAAGTTCTCAGAAGGCTAGCTGAGCTAAGAATAGAAAAGAATGAATAACAAAGGTCTGTCGACCGGCAGAAAGCGAGAGCAGCTCTGCCATGAATGGTCAGTAAATCCAAATATCCACAGGAGACCAATCACAGATGCACCTGTTGCATTCCACAGCAGCAGATAACCATTGTTTACACTTTGTTGCTGAGGCCACAGCTTCTCAGAAGGGAGAAAAATCCTAAAGAAAGGATTTTTATGAAAAGATGTCTGTGACACCCCACCTATCTCTCTAACCCTCAGATGCCTTGCCTACCTTTTTGCCGTGGATCTTGTCCTCTGAGAGTTCTGTCGTTGTCCTGGTGTGAGGGTTGCTGTCCTGTCCCACCGGGAGGGTTCCGCTCTGGTCTCGCTGTCAGGGTTGCTGTGTTGTGCTGCTGTTGGGGGAAAAGGCTGTGCTGTTGTTAGGGGGGCTGCTTAGGCTGAGGTGAGGGCTGGGCTGAGGGCTGGTGCGCCTGTACCCTAATTTGCCTCCTAAGCTGTTCCCTGTAGCCCTGATCTCCAGTGCACTGTGCAGCCCTCAAGCCTTCTCCCTTGACCCCTCAAGCCCTCCCTCAACCCCTCAAGCTCTGTTTGTCACCCTCAAGCCCCCCCTGTGGCCCTCAAGGCACCTCTCAGCTGCCCCTTAGCTCCTGTGTGTCACCCTTAA